TTTCAGACTCAGCACCACCCCAACACTAACTAACCTCCAATACAAATTAAAGGTTCAACCTTTTTTCCTTTCACAGCTGCAATCTCCCCTCTTTGATCTCACTCCGAGAAGGAGAGACTAAGTTACATAGAGAGATGTTCAAAAATTCTCCTTTTCAAGTTTATCATTTCATTCAAATCCTCAAGGTATTTGAGCTCGGCCATGAAATTCAAGTTCTGGGTGTTTCTAAATTTTTTATTATAATTTGTGGGTCGTCGACAAAAACAAAAAAACACATTTTTTCTCCGTTATTTATTGAGTTTGGGGACTCTGACTTTGTGTATTGTGAAGATTTTGAATTTACGCCTGAAAGTAGAAGTTCATTTGATTAACCGTTCTGCAGATGTCATTGTTGTTCGATTATACGAAACTGTTTAAAACAAAAAAACAAAAATACAAAAAAAAATTAGGACTTCCACCCTCCACAGATGCTACATGCATGGAGCAAAAAATTCAAGATACCATTAAACCTTGCCATGTGTAGACGGGTAAACCTCCAAGCAGCTAACAATGGAGTAGATCTTCTACCAAAAACATGCCAACAACTACATAGGGAGCCCTTGTTTTCAGACAGATCGTGCCAAGGAGTAAGGTTATTTTCGTCAATATTTTCGCACTTTCTCGGGTACCAAAAAATTCCAATTAATCCATGGAACTATTGACCTCCTCTCCGTGTAGAGTTTTGCACACAAAAAACATTGCCGGGATATATATTGGTTCGGGAAACTTTTTTATTTTTGGATACCAAATATGGGGTTCTAACTTCTCCAAACATGATTTTCCGAAAAGCTAAAATTTTCCGGCTACCAAACAGGCCCTTAGGGTAAATGGAAATTAGAACATGAGTTATATAAAAATTAAGACTGAGTCAAAGCATGATGTGCAATTGATAATAAAACAATATTATATGAAGATATATCAGACAAATGTAGTGGGAAAAAGTGACACAACTAGATTAATCATGAAATGTCGTAGTCATAAAGATAATTATTTGTCGAGGGTGAAGGCACGTACATAAAAGAGAGACATTACTTTATAGTAAAATTAAAGTCAAACAATGACTATTAGTCTCGTAAGATAAGACATTTTTTCTGAAACAAGATTAAATTATTTCCATGAGTATCTCCCATCTCTTTTTTGAGAGAATAAAGAAAAATTAACAATATATAAGCTTAATTTACATCAATAGCACAATCTAATGCCCAAATAAATTATTAAAAAAAATACTCATCATCAAAGCTAGAGGTGACAAAGTGGGTGGCTCGCCCCGCCCTACCCCGTCTCATCTCGTCATCATCCAGCTAAAAAATAAGCCAGCCCACCTCACTCCGCTTTTGAAAGTGGGCTGCAAAACTCAGTCCATCTCGTCCCATTTGGCGAGTTGGTCCGCCGAACCGAGCCTATTTTGCCGGCTCTAATCAAAGCATTAATTTATACAGGACAAAATGTGATTAACAATTTTAGAGCACGTATTTACAATAAATAAATTACGCTCTCGCATTTCATTAAGAAAAAAAGATTATTATACTACCACCCTTACTTCTCCGTTAAGAGAAAATTCCATAATATCCTTTTTAAAAAAAATAATAACTGTACAAGAAACGTTACTAATAAAACATTAATCACTTGGAAACTTAATAGAAATATTAGCCAATTGACAGAAAAATAAGTAATTAGAAACATGATTTTTATACTGATTCGGCTCCAATGAGGAACTCATGTCATTTCCCAGCTAAACTCAGAGTATTTTAATTTGTTTCTCCAAGCTGCTTACAACACAAAACTCACTTGTACATAGCAACCAGCTATTAACAACAGCTACACAAGATTTTACTGAAAATAGAGATTGGTTTTTTACCCTCTATTAAGTTTTTTTTTTCCTCACAAATAAGCTCAAGAATTCTCAAAATGCAATTCAAGCTTTTAATTGGTAGCACAGAATTGTCAGAATATATTTTGAAACCTTGAATTTTGGAGAAGACTTTTGGTGCTCCTGGAGCATCAATCTTTCAGTGATCCAAACCAATGAAAATGTGACAATTACTCAAGAGAGAAAAGAGTAAAAAAAATATTTATACAAGTGTCATTCATTGAATAGAAGGATAATGTGAGAGCAAGAGCACTAAAAAAATTTAGATCTTTATTTGACAAGGTATATGGCAGCTTTTCTTTGAATTCTGTATATATTCTTGTTGTCATTCCCTTTTCATCAATATAATCAAGGATCTCTAAATGATCTGCATAAATAGAAACTTGGCCAAGAATAGGATCAAGCATTAAAATCAAAGTCATGTTACTATGTGGTTGTTATCATCATAAACTATGGTATGTGTTCGGTCTTAGAAAGACCGTATTGCTATATCGTATGGTATGCGCTCAGAGATACTGTATAAACTGATGTATACTTGGCTTATAGTCGATGTCCCAATCACTGTGCACAAGCAATAGGCTTATAGCCAAGACGTAAGTGTGTGCACAGTGTTGGCAGTATTAGTAAATAGGTTGAAAGTGTATACCTGGGGTCTTTAACCTCTTATTTATAAGGGTTACCTCTTGGGCTTGTGTAAATCTCTCAGTTGTAGTAGGATTTAACTTCCTTTCTGTTGGGATAGAGACTCTATATTTAGCTGCCTTACTGTTTTATATTATTAGGATAATTGAAGAATTATTCTTTAAGGAATCCTTAGGTAGGTGGTTAAGATATAGAAATATTTCATAACAATATGGAACCTTGAGCTAACAATATGGTCGTCCTTTGAGCAATAGGCTCTACAATCTGTCAGAAAAGAACAAGATTGATTTGTGTTGATGTCTGTTACTCCCAAACATTCAGTGCTGGTACACTGCTTCAGTTGCTTATATGGTTATTTTTTGTGCAACTTAATTCCCTGTAACGGGTTTGTTACTTATCAATGTCTATGTTACTATAGCCTCAGCTGCATATATGGATATTGTTGGTGACTGATCTTAACCATACACCTAAGTTATAGGCTGTAAAAAAATCCAAAAAAGGAATATAAGCAAAGACATGAAGTAGATAGGGTAAATCATACGGTGGTAAGTCATTTTCACTACGCATAGGGGGTAATTTATGTGCTGACAAGATAGCAACTTAGGTCACAATCAGGAGCGCATCTTCTCTACTATACTACATATGCACCAAAGATCGGGTGCGACGGTGTATTTATATTATGTACTATCGGTAATATATAATATAAAATATAAAACTTATTTTTTTCTCTTCAATATAATAGCAGCTGACGTGACGTGCTTCTATAGATCTGGTGTACCTACTTCCATAGTATATTAGATTTTTCGCACAATCAGATCCTTTTGGTTTGGCACTCCCCTCTTTGATAGTTTACTGTCTGTTTCATTGTATTTTAGATTTTTTTGGTTTTTAAAATTATTTTGTAAAACAATTAATAAAATAGGTGCTTTTTATATTTTTTTTGTTTTGAAAGTTAAAGGTAAAAACCTAAAACAAAAACAACTCAGATATATTATTTAAATTTGATTCTAAAAATAAAATAGTTACAATTTTTAATTTTTTTTTTTTTACAAAACAGGTCTTATTATTAAACAGATTTTTTTATTTTTTTATTCTGAAAATTAAAAAATTATCCTTGCCCCCTTTTATGTGTTACAGTTAGCCAAAAAGAAAAAACTCATTTCTAAAATGTTAAATAAGATAACACTTTTAATTTTATATAAATAATTTGTAAATATTCAAATTGAATAAAATTTACTTATTTTTTGAAGTTACAGAATAATCGGACCTTATGCGAATTGGAAGTGGTCAAATTTAGTTAAAATTGTAGTAAAAACTTTGCAACATTAAACTAAGAAAATTCCTGTCACAAAGAACCATTTGAGTTTCATTAATGTATACAACGTTCGAATATTGTTTTTGCTTTTATTTACAACAAAAAATATAGGGACATGACCTGGTTCCGAATTCCAGGCATCATCACGGTTGCCATGGTTGATTCTTACCATTCCTGACGATACGCATCTACATGTTGTTATGTAATATATGGTCATATAACTTTGATACCAAAAGAATGAAAAGGTGATAAAAAGAAAAGAAAAGAAAAACTAATGATCTTTACCTTATTTGATGTTAACAAAGAAAAAAAGAAAGAATAACTAGTCAAATAAAAAAGTATAATAAAAAATGCAAAATTACTTTTATTTTTCATGCATCTCTTTCTATCCATCCAATAAGAGAGGATATCCAGAGTACAATTTTTAATGAATCACCCTGAAAATTATTCCACTCTTCTCTTTTCCTTTCCTTCATAAATGTAATCAACTTCTTTCTGCAGCAATCAATCATTGCACAATTTTGAGACAACCAATCCATACCCAAAATCAAATTAACAGAGGCCACAGTTTGGGCTTACTAATGCCTCTGCAGTGTTCATGGATTATATGAATCGCATTTTTAAATCGTATTTGGACCAGTTCGTGATAATATTCATAGATGATATCCTGATATATTTCAAAAGTAAAGAGGAGCATACGAAGCATCTGAGGACCGTGTTTTAGGTGTTGAAAGATAAAAAGTTATATGCCAAGCCATCTAAGTGTGAATTTTAGCTATCTGAGATGCAATTTCTGAATCATGTTATTTCTGCTAGTAATGTTGCAGTGGATCAAAGTAAGATTGAAGCGGTAAATGACTGAGAACGACCTAATGTAATACCAGACAAGGGAAAGTCAACATCATAAGAGTATAATCCTTACTTTCCATGATAATCATTTCTATTGAAGGCTAAGCTGACTCAATTGTTAGAAGAAAATAGAAACAAGGGAAACAGTGGAAAAACCATAGCTGTTCAAAGTTTGGCATTTCCTTCAAGAAATTGCATGTATCAAGTAAATAAATAATTATACGAAGACAGGTGATGTAGTGATGTTCAAAACAATCTCGACAAACAGGCTAAAATGTAGTTACAATGACGGGCACAAGGGACGAGCAGCATCATCACCAACCCTGCAAAGTCATATAATTTAAAATAACTATTACCTATACTAAATTTACAATTACAACTACTTTCGAAAAATTAGAATGGTAAATGAAACAATTTTTTGAATTTGAGGGCTATGGTATAATACAACTTCAGGACTTCAAAACTAATACCCCCATCCCCAACCCAACAAAGAAAAAGAATAACTACTATCGCCCCTGTATGCCAAAAATCTTTGTTTAATAAGGTCTAAATTTCCTGGCAGCTCTCAACTGCTGCAGCCGTTTTTTATCCTCCTCAAATTTGCTTTGCAGTGTCATTATCTCTGCGATCAAAGCATTAACGGCTTATCTCAGTTTCACCACTAACAAAAATAATATAAAAAATTTAATGAAAATCGATACAGAAAATAACCAAGTCATTTACGATAGCATCTGGAGTTAAGAAATAAAATGGGGTATAAAGCATGAGATTTTTATAAAAATCATAAAAGTCCTTGAGTGATTCCAAACAACAGCAACAAGACACTCATTTCATGAACATCCAGCATCCAGAAACATTTTTTGCTGTGTTTTCATGCATAAAATCTTAATTTACGGACAGAATGGGTTTTAATTATTAAGCACAACAGAAGTTAGGGAGAGTCAAAAAGATAATCATGCATAAGAATAGAAAGGGAAAAGCATTATGGTTTTCCATTATATGAATTGAAGAATTCATAAGGAAAAAAAAAACAACAACTTATAAGATCTTTCCAATGCCCGTTAAAGCCCCCTAAAATAACATATTTATGCTTTTTGGTCTATATTTAATTATTGACTATTCATTTTAAGTTTCAACACAAACGAAACGATTTGTAGGATATGAAAAATGGCTAAACATTACGAAATACAGGTTATACCGTTTCTCTGAGCTTCTCTTTTTTGAAAGCGGTAGAAATCTAGACCAACTTCTTTATGCTTCTTTTTGGCCATTTTATTCTCCACAGCAGCTTGAGCAACCGAGCCCACAGCAATTCCACTTTCAGAGTCGGTAGTTTTCTTCCTACCCTTGTGGTGTACAATAACAGTCCATCCCCCTTCTGCAGCAAGGGTTTCTTTTTCTTTCCTTTCCTGCATTGACCACAAGCATTACATGAAAACCAAAATAAGGACACAACAAACCTGGGATCATTCATATCTTAATTTTGAATATGGAAGTATAAACATTTAAGGATCTCAAAAAGAGGCTAATTTGACATAATGGGACAGCAGTAGCAACAAACAACTCAATTCAGTCAGATCACCACGAGTGGAATTCAAATCAAACAACAACCAAAGCCTTTTCTCATTAGGTGGGGTCAGCTACATGGATCAAACAATGTCATTGTGTGTTATCATGAACCAAATCCTCCAAAATTCCATATAGATCTAAGTATTTTTTAATAGCCCGGAGTTTCACTTGGTCTCTGTTGGGTTATGACAAGTGGGTCCAAGTCCAGCAATGCAAAGGAGTCCATAATAGTTAGTTAGAGGAGAGAAATGCTGTTATATAGGGTGATCTGAGGGTGAGGTTTAGGCATGTATGAATTCAATATTGGCTTATGGGGAAATTGGGAATCTCTGGGAGTTGAGATTTCTGGGTTTATTTTCTGCATTTTATCTTGTAAGGAGCTTGGCTCCATTTATGTTTTCTGCAATTTCAGATTTATAAAAGTAGGTTCCATCAATTTCTGGAAATTGTTATTATTATTATTATGTTTCAAACAGAAGAAATGAAATTCCAAAATTCTATTTCTTAATAATAAGAAATGAATCAAAATTATATTCTTGAGTTTGGACTACAGCAACAGACTTTGGTCAACAGAAAGAGGAGTCCAGTATTATCGGTCACTAGCATCACTCAGAGTGCTTTCATGGAAAGATAGCCAGTAGGCTTGCTGCATTCATGGTATCCATTCAACTGTGAATAACTCTCTTTCTTTCTTTCTTTCCTAATGAGTCATATTGGGCACACGACAAGTACACATGATATATACAGAAAGTCACACTGTTTATGCTGCGAAGGCCAAAAGAAAGCATCCTTATCCAGATTACACTGAAAACACAATACATAAGAGACGGGAAAACAAAAAGATTATCCAAATTGTAAACAAGACAACAAAATGAAGAAGAACTTCTAATCTTTTGTGTGTCTTTGGATTTTTTAGCTGTCAGAGATACATCGATTCCTCTCCAGCCACATACTCCACAGAATACAAACTGGAATGATTCTCCATATCCTAACACCCTACCTATCACTAGGTACCATTATTCAGAAAACAAAATCTCTGTCAAATGCAGACAGCACCAAGTGCACACCACATGGAGACAATACTAAACCCCGAAAAATTATAACTTGGACTCATATGTTATAGCCTTCCTTTGGGAATGAAAAGGACTTTTACTAGTTATTTTTTAAAGCCATGGAATTGGTAGGTATGGGAAACAAACTCTGTTACTCTAATTAAATAAGATATTAACCAACATTGGTTTCAACATATAACCAAAATTCATGCCATGATACTTATCCCCACAAAAAAAGGGTCCATTGACACTTCCATTTTGCAAGAAATCTGCAGAAAGTAGTCAAATTATGAAACACTGGCTTAAGATGACAACATGAGAATCCAATCATTCTGTTTTTATCTTAAGGATGATTGTTAAAATATTTACCTCTTCCAGTTTTGCCTCATGAGCAGTTACAAAGTTGTCAATTTGATGTTGCAATACCTCCAATCCTGGTCTATTTTGATGGTATTCCATGATCCATTCTGTAGTTTGACTAGTCCCCAGTCAGAAATTATACCAGGCAGGACAGTTAATATACAATAGCATACAATATGCACAGAATACAAAGGTGCTTCACAATTTAACTTCTGTCAACAGATTGAAAGAATGAAGTTAAGAGATCCGTTCACATTAAGGAGGTAGGGGCGGATGTTGGCAAATGATGACAGGGATCTACAGAGGAAAAATGGCAATTACTTATGCAAAATGTGCCAAAGTAAATGGCTTCACAATACAATAATTATGTAGCAAAATTCAATATTGCACAATATACGCCCTTCATCCTATATGTATAACGTAAATAAAGGTTTTAGATACTTAAATATGCAGAGTTTTTAAGCAAACGAAAAATAATGCCCTGAAATGAACAGTTCTTACTTTTCATTCCTTTCGAGCAGTCATCGTCTCCGGAGGAAATAATATAAATTTCATCCAGATGACGCTCTTCTCCCTTTTCTGGTGAATTATGAACCTCCTTTACAAAATTTCCTTCCTTTCTCCTTTTTTTCTTAGCTTTCTTTGACCTACCTACATCATAAGGATAAATTCCGTGAGGAAAATGAACGTGTAACTTCAGGCGTGACATTTCATAATGCAACAATGAAATCAACCAGACTAGGTTTTTTATTACAGGGTTTGAGAGATGCTCCAATATCAGAATCTCTATGCTCTCCGGAGTCTTTGATGAGTTTGATCTCCTCAGCTTTAGAATGACAATTTCCCACTACTCCATCCATGCCATTGGGGAAAAAAGTAAGATCAACATGAACGGTTTGGACATATTTTTATTTAAATTTTATAAAAGATGTGTATTCTAGATGCCAGAATAGGGAGAAACAAAGACAGAAAAAATAATATTAATACAAATAAAGCATAAAAAAGAAATGCCTAGTTCTCCATTCATTGACAGCAAAATATCTTATTCACAGTGTAGCACAAGCCGACACAACACAACCATCAACTCACCACTTTGCTCTTCCAAATCAAGTTCTTCACTCTTTGGTCTTTGTCTTCCAACTAGATTTCTGTCCTTATTCTTTCTTTTTCTGTTGATAGAATGCTTCTCCTTTTCTGCCTTTCTAACATGCACTCCATGGTCCACTGAAACAACCAGTTTATTTCAGGGACAGCTAAACAAAGCGTGAGGAGTATGGAAACATAACATATTTACCTTCAATGTTCATTGTCACATGTGCCTCAACATCACCATTTTTCACCATGTTCCTTTTCTCCTTCTTTTCCCCAGAATGTATGTCTCCTTTTCCCTTCTTTACTTTCATCATAACGAAAATTCAACCTGGATCAACACAGACAAAAATAAAAACAAAAAATAATAATATAATAATAATAATAATTGGGAAAGGATCCATTTACAAAGAAATTTATTAATTTTTGCAAATTACACTATATACTCTCAGAAATACACATAATATAACCTAACGTACTTTCGACCATACATAATCTAATTTGTAAGAGTTTGTAAATAAAAAATTTATAAATATAACTATGTCATAATAATTTATAGGGCCAGGATAATCAATCTTACACCTCACTAATAGCTATTGATTCTCTAGCATCTAACCCCTTATGTAACTAATAAATTAAATTCTTTATATGCAAGTGGGTTTAACAAATAAGAGATACAGTCAAAGGTGTAAAATGATAATTCCCGTTTTGGTGAAAAGAGAAGAACTTTAAAAAAATTGAAGAGACCAGGTGAATAGAGCGAAATAGAAAACTGAGAAAAACCACCTTGAAAGGGGAAAAGTGTGAAGTGTTAAGAAAGGAAGGTGCAAACCCTAACATTATCATTGTTTAAACGCATGTTGAAAAAGAGAAATATTACTATCTTTTGCTCATATTCTATATTTCATCTTCTTTCACTCCAATTTTCGTATTTTATCTAATTTTTTATTTTTATTTTTATTTTTAATAGTAGGACTCACCTATGTTCTCTCTACAATATAAGATTACTATCTTACGTGAAACAAGATTAATAAAACACGTTAAGAAAGTGTTAAGAAAGAAAGGCTAACAACACGGAGGAAGAAGACATACACGTCGAGCGACAAAGGAAATCAAAAGGACTAAACCCACTCCAAAGTTTAAACGCATCGTTGTGCACTTCAGTAGGGTTTAGGAAATTATTAAGTTGACTCTTTCTGATTCTATATCCCTAATTCCTAACAATTAGGTATCTAAGTCTAACACATGACACCGTTTTATGTCACTCTTGTTAATTACTGTTTGTGTTTGCTACTATTTCAGTGATTATGACAACGTTTGAAATTAATTGTAATGGAAAAATTAAAATTATGAATAATTCTATTATAAATATAAAATTAACCACTAAGCTCAAATTCAAATATCTCGTGATCGTTCCCTGTATCTAAATTATATACACGAGAGGTTATATTTATAATTTCTTTTTGTTTATAATTTTTTGTAACCAAATCTTAATTGTTAATTTTTATCAATTTAACGATTATAATTTATGGGGTCATATATATTAATTAGTAAATATGTATTTTATAATTTTTTGATAAAAATAAAATAAATAAAAAATGGATTATAGGTATTTATATTTTTTAGAATATACCTTTTTTGAATTAATGTTAAGAACAATAATTTAATTTTACGAAAAAAGTCATTAAATTATTTGGCTTTAAAACATTTTTGTTATAATATATATAAGTATTTATTAATTAATAATTTTATTTTTATAAAATATTGAAGAATGTTAAGCTAATAATTAATAATAAAAAATGAAGTGTAATTTTTAGTTAAATTTAAATTTTAGTGTGATTTTAACATATAATGTGATTTTAACATATAATTCCTATGTTTAAGTACATTTGTTTATAAAGTATTTGAAATAATTTATTTTAACGTTATTTAAACTTTAAAAGTATTTTAGATAATTATTTAGTAAATATTGAAAAAAAATATTTGTCTTTTTAAAATACTATCATTTTAGTTAAAATTATTATTATTTATTTAATATTTAAATTAAAAAAAAACTCTTGCTTTCTTCCGCTACGATCTCATTGTAGAATTGATTAAAATAATTTTATTTTATTTTATTTAAAAAACAAAACACTAATCCCTTAGATAATTATTTTTCCAACCGGAACAATTTATTAGGGGTTGCGCCCATAAAAATTAGAGATAAATCGAAAAGATAGGGTTATTTTAGTCATTGTTGAAGATTGAAATTATTTTGTAATACTGTTACTATTAGATAGGAACAAATTATTTAGATTAGTAGAAGTTGTTACTAGGTTGTTGTATATCTTGTATAAGTTGTTATTAATTCTTGTATAAATACACCTCATTAAGAGAGGTAAAGTATGAATGAATGAAATACAAGTTCCCTGAATTTCATTTTTAACATGGTATCATTGTGTTAAGATCCAGGACCCAGATAGCCCCACCTTGCTTCTGCCTCCTTTACTTTATTTTTTTCCTCGTACCTGACCCGTGTTTTTTTCCTAAACCCATATTTTCTTTTTCGGTTTTTTGCCTTTGACCTTACCCGACCCGCAATTCTTTGCCCCTTTCTTCTGGAAAATTCCAAATCCCTAACCTCTCAACAATGGAAGACGACGAAAACTCTACCCCTCCTCCAGTCACAAACCCTTCCCCTCCACCACAATCCAACATCATTATTTAGCAGGACAACTCCTCTTTTCCCGTCACCGTCATCCTGGATGAATCAAACTACCCACTTTGGTCTCAGCTCATGGACATGCGTATTGGTGCCCGAAATAAGACTGGGTATCTTACTGGTGATACGGCGAAGTCGCCGACGAACGATCCAACCTATGATGTTTGGGTCACTGAAAACAAAAGGGTCAAGAGTTGGCTCATCGAATCCATGAACCCCTCTCTTATGCAGCGTTTCATTCGCTTGGAGTCAGCTCACGAAATCTGGACTGCAGCTCAACGAATGTTCTATGATGGATCGGATGAAACTTGTCTATTTGAACTCCATCAACGATCTTTCTCCACAAAACAGACCGGACGTCCTCTCTCCGTCTATTATAATGAGCTCTTCTCCATCTTTCAAGAAATCGATCACCGTATGATCTCCTCTGCGGCCACCGTCGATGCTGTAGTTCAGACGCACTCTTCCATGGATCGGCTGCGTGTCTATATTTTTTTGAGTGGCTTGGACTCAGACTTCGACCAGGTCCGAGGTGAAATTCTTCGTAAAGATCCCAAATTGGATCTTGAGAGCACATATGCACTGGTCCGTCGTGCACATCAGCAACGTGTCACGATGGGTCGCCCTGCCTCTACAACGGAGTCCTCTGTTTTCTTATCTCATGTTCCTCGTGCTCCCTCTGCACACCCGACTCAAAAACCTCGGAAGGATACATCCTCTGCCAAGATGCTTCTCTGCTCTCACTGTGGCGATTCTGGCCATTCTAAGAACCGTTGCTATGAGATCATCGGATACCCAGAGTGGTGGGACTTTACAAAACGACCACGACGGAAGGTCATCTCCAAAGCTCTGCAGTCCTCTTCTGATCATGATTCATCTTCTATTCCTCAAGCCAATGCGGTGTACGAAGGTATTTTAGGTAACATTCCTGCACTCTCCTCTAACTATAGGAATTTATCTTGGATAATTGATTCTGGCGCGTCAGACCATATGATTCGTGATGCCTCTCTGTTAACACATTATTCTTCTTGTAATAAATCTACCATAACTACTGCTAATGGTGGATCTGCTTATATTACTGGTCAGGGTACTTTAACTTTATCTAAGAATATTACTCTAAATTCTGTTCTGGTGGTTCCCTCTCTCGAATTCAATCTGCTGTCTGTGAGTAAACTTGTGTCTGAGCTTAATTGCAAAGTTATTTTTTGCCCAACTTTTTGTGTATTTCAGGACGTCCAAACACAAGTGATTCTTGGCTCTGGTGTTAAGCGTAACAACCTTTATTTTTTTGAGGTTTTTGATCGTGGACCTGACTTGCAATCTACAGCGTCTGTGACTCACACTTTTGATCCTCTGCATTCCCCAATTTGGCTTTGGCATAAAAGACTTGGACATCCCTCTTTCCAGTATCTTCAAAAGTTGTTTCCTAATTTATTTTCTAAATGTAATCCTTCTGATTTTCACTGTTCTACTTGTAAGAAGGCTAAAAGCCATCGAATTCCCTTTTATCCCAGTCTGAATAAAAGTGTTATCCCATTTCAAGTTATTCACTCTGATGTCTGGGGCCCTTCTAAAGTCCCTTCTTTTTCTCACGCTTATTATTATGTCTCTTTTATTGATGAGTGTACTCGCATGATGTGGATTTCCTTACTCAAACATAAAAATGAAGTCTTCTCTGTTTTTCAGAAATTTTGGAATATGGTTCAAACCCAATTTAACAGTTCCATTCAAATCCTCCAATCCGATAATGGGCTGGAATATAAGAACAACCTATTTTCTGAATTCTTAGACTCTAAAGGTATTAAACATCAGACTTCATGTACCTACACACCTCAGCAAAATGGATTAGCTGAGAGAAAAAACAGGCACTTGTTAGAGGTAACAAGAGCATCTTTATTTGAAATGAATGTACCTTCTTCTTACTGGGGAGAGGCAGTCCTTTCTGCAGCTTACCTTATTAATCGTACTCCTTGTAGTTCCTCAATTTTCTCACCCCACAAAAAAAACTTGAATCTTTTTTTTCCATACCTCATGTAATGAATCTTGAACCTAGAGTGTGCACTGCTTATGTTCATATACCCAAACCTTTACGAAATAAACTTGATCCTTATGCTAAGAAATGCATCTTTGTTGAATATTCTGATCTTCAAAAGGGTTATCGATGTTTTGATCCTACAACTCACAAAATGCATATTACTCTTGAAGTCTCCTTTCAGGAATCTGAAGCCTTCTATACAGGGGGAGTTTCCTCTTCTTCTCAGGGGGAGATCCAGAATAATAGAGAAGAAGATTTCTGGCTATCTACTTCTACAATTTATGTACCTTCTACCACAAATCATCAGCTAACAGACACTTATCCAGATTCTTCGACTACAGGAACCTGTGAACCTCCACAAACAAATCTGAATGATGCAAGTCCATCTGTGCCCAATGAGACACCGTGTCCAAGTGAATTACCTAGTCTGCATAATTCTGAACCCATAACCGAATTACCAAATCCTTCTGAATTACCCATTGTGCATAATTCTGAAGACAGAACCAAACTAACCCTTGCTCCTAATACAGATTGTTCTGTTTCTGCTGCTCCTAACAGTGTGCAGACCCGAAAATCAGAGAGACCAAATAAAGGCAAACACAAAATTGCTTATGAACCAGATCCAAAAGTTAAAGTAAAGTATCCTATTAGTAATTATGTGTCATCTCATAGGCTATCTAGATCATATGCTCTAACAGTTGATCAATTATCTACTGTATATATTCCTAATAGTGTGCAGGAGACTTTGGAAGATCCTAGGTGGAAACAAGCAATGAATATTGAGATGGAAGCTCTTCAGCATAATAAAACTTGGAGATTAGCCTCTTTACCAAGTGGGAAGAAGACAATTGGGTGCAAATGGGTATATACTGTGAAGCTAAAAGCATATGGAAGTATTGACAGGTATAAAGCGAGACTTGTAGCAAAGGGATATACACAAAAGTATGGAGTTGACTATCAAGACACGTTTGCTCCGGTAGCTAAACTTAATACAATTAGAATCTTGATATCCATTGCTGCGAACAGAGACTGGCCCTTAAAACAGTTCGATGTAAAGAATGCATTTTTGAATGGTGACTTAGAAGAGGAAGTCTACATGGAAATTCCACCTGGAGTGAAGCTAACATCTTCAAAGGAGAATATGGTGTGCAAACTGGAAAAGGCTCTCTATGGCCTTAAACAATCACCAAGAGCATGGTTTGGAAGGCTCTCATTGGCAATGAAAAAGTTTGGTTATAAGCAGAGCAACTCGGATCACACATTATTCATAAAACATAACAGAGGAAAGGTGACAATACTCATTGTTTATGTAGATGATATGGTGTTGACAGGGGATGATGTAGAAGAAATGAAGCTACTTGAGAAGAAATTGGCTGCTGAATTTGAAATGAAATATCTAGGTCCTCTAAGATACTTCCTTGGGATAGAAATTGCAAGGTCTGATCAAGGTATATTTCTGTCTCAAAGAAAATATATTTTAGATCTTTTATCTGAGACTGGTTTACTGGCTTGCAAGCCTGCTGATACTCCGATGGAAATGAATAATTCTTTGGGCATTTATCCAGATCAGATTGAAGTAGACAAGGGCAGATATCAAAGGTTAGTAGGAAAGTTAATTTATTTATCACATACTAGACCTGACATTGCGTATTCTGTAAGCATTGTAAGTAGATTCATGCACTCTCCTAGTGAAGAACATATGAAGGCAGTTTACCGTATTTTGAGATATCTCAAAGGATCTCCAGGGAAAGGTCTTTTATTCTCAAAAAATAATAGAGCATGCATTGAAGGATACACAGACTCAGATTGGGCTGGTGATAAAACCACAAGGCATTCAACTTCAGGGTACTTCACCTTTGTAGAAGGAAATCTGGTCACATGGAGAAGCAAAAAACAAAAGGTAGTAGCAAGATCCAGTGCTGAAGCAGAATTCAGAGGCATTGTTTATGGTGTTTGTGAACTGTTATGGGTGAGAAACATTCTAGCTGATTTGGGAATAAAATATGATAAACCAATAAGTCTCTTTTGTGACAATAAAGCAGCTGTGGAGATAGCACACAATCCAGTCCAACATGATAGAACTAAACATGTGAAGTGGATAGGCACTTTATAAAGGAAAAGATTGATAATCAAATAATTCAGATTCCTCATGTTCGATCACAGGAGCAACTTGCTGATGTATTAACAAAAGCTGTCACAGGGAAAATGTTTGAAGAAATCATTGGCAAGTTGGGCATGGTTGATATCCATGAGCCAACTTGAGGGGGAGGGTTGAAGATTGAAATTATTTTGTAACACTGTTACTACTAGATAGGAACAAATTATTTAGATTAGTAGAAGTTGTTAGTAGGTTGCCGTTTATCTTGTATAAGTTGTTATTAATTCTTGTATAAATACACCTCATTAAGAGAGGTAAAGTATGAATGAATGAAATACAAGTTTCCTGAATTTCATTTTTAACAATCATAAAAATCAAGTTGCATTTAAGTTGATATTTTTCTTCCTAAAAATGAAATCCGGATTCCGATTTTCTCATAAATTTTTTTGCATATCAATTTCTCGAGAATTAAAAAAAAAATATCCACCAACCAAACGCCCCATAGAATATTCCATAAATCGAATCCATTGGAAAATCCAATTACCACTATGCCCGAATAAATTATTACAACCTTTGTTTTTTTTGTTTTTGGTATTTTTCCCTTTTATCAAAGTTTGTATTGCAACCTTTATTTAAACAGCAACAATTGAGTGTACGTGGATTCGTGCCCCGCAGGTTTTATGCACCGTACGACGAGTTAAGGTGTTGAGTGCTGATCAAGCTGAAGCACTTTCAAACGGACATTTCTGTGAAGCAAAACATGAGGCCAAAGATTTATCTTTTCGGTGATTCAATCACAGAGGCCTCATTCGCTGAAGGTGGATGGGGTGCTTCTCTTGCCAATCATTTCTCCCGCACGGTATTGAATTTTATGAAGAATTTGGAATGACAGTGAATGCTTTGATTTTTTATTTTATTTTTCATTTTTGCCTTCGTGGGAAAGGTGCTTTTCATGTGAAGTTTGAAGCTTTTGTAAATGGGGTTGATGAGATTCAGGTAGATGTGGAATGGAAGTGAATGTTTCTGATTGTATTTATGCTCTTTTTTTGTTTTTATCATTTTCACCTTAATGGGTAAGATGGCTTTCATGAAAAGCTTCAAGCTTTTCTAAATGGGGTTGATGGTGTTAAGGTGGATGTGGAATGAGATTGTATTTATTTTTTCATTTTTTCCTTAATGGGCAAGATGATTTTTTATGTGAAGTTTGAAGCTTTTGTAAATGGGGTTGATGACAATGATGATGATGATAATGATCAGGTAGATGTGGTGCTCAGAGGATATAGTGGCTACAACACAAGGTGGGTGTTGAAGGTGTTGGAGAGGGTTTTCCCTGCAACACAAGAAGGTGATGGAGGAATTGATAAAGCACCAATTGCTGTCACTGTTTTCTTTGGGGCCAACGATGCTAGCCTTCCAGATAGAAGCTCTGGTTTTCAACACGTGCCTCTCATTGAATATAAGCAGAACCTTCACTCCATTGTGACCTTCTTCAAGGTAAGCTCATCTCTGTGTGTGTTTGTAGCAACAAACGTTCAAATGATTAGGCAAAAGTTGCACGGTCTTGAAACCCAGAAAATGGGTCACTGTTTTAGAATGACACAAAAGGCTTTTGACCCATTGTGTTTGATAGCGTGCTCTGGAGCCAACACTGTTCCAATTCATGTTGTAAAAGGATTAATTATTTCTCATTTGGTGGGGTTGTATATTATGATGACTGTTTCTTCGTCTGGGTGGTCAAAGATGGTCATGGGGACCCTTGAAAATTGCGATGTAAAAAGCTTTTGACGGAAAGTTATTACAAAATTAAAATAAGGTGTGAAAAAGGGTGAGCGTGCCTGTCTTTGTTTGTATTTGCCCCTTGATCCCGATATGCTGTGAAAAAGTTTCTGAATCCTTGCTTTTATGGTAGTGGAATTTGCACGACCTGTTTGTGTAAAGTAACACTTTTAAGAAGTTCTCCTTTGGGACTGGCAAGGGTCCGTAGATTGGACTGAAGGAGGCTACTAAGAGTTGTTTTCACAACCTAAATCTTGTGGCTTTCTTTTTTCTTCTTTAATTGGTGCCCATGCAATTATTTGTGGGTGCTAAAATTTTATTTATATTTAAGCCATGTATATTATATGTTTTTCTAGCTCTTGGGCATGCAAGTAAGATAGGATTTTGGAAGACCCACATTTGCTTTAGGAGTGGAAAGAGTGGTGCCTCATTTAGGATTAAAACGTCAGCTGACCGTTCCTCGATGAGGGTTATCGAGTCTTGGGAGGCCCACGGGCTTAATGAATGCTGACTCTTATACCGGGGTACTTTATTTTAATGGGAAGATATAATTATGTTTCAAGAATGTGTACTATTAATCAGTAAAAGTAATAAGGGACGAAATAGAGAAAGTAGATGCTACTTGTGTGTTTTGGACAATTCCAAAACCCCATATAGTTATCTGAAAGGTGGGATCAATAAGTTGATTGTGATATGTAAATCTCTAAAATGAAAGGGATTTTTTTTTCCCTTTTTATTTTTTTAGTGTTCAGGACCTGGCTATTGGCAAAGGCAGTAAATTTTCCTTTGATTTATAAGACCAAGCATGACTGTTGGGGTTTGATGCTTTGATCAACACTACTGCCTTCTGGACTTACTGAACTTAACATTTTGCGTTACCAATATCTCTGTTATGTTTTCAGTGTTTGATTCTGACTCCGAGGAACCTATTTTGTCGGTCATCAATTGCACTTGGATAATGCCTATCATAAACTACAAGACTCAATCATCATCTGAAAAACAAACCTGTCCTCGCTGTTTCTATATCACTGTGTAGTTTTTCCTAGAATCAATTAGATTAGAATAACTTTGAAGCTTTTAATATAGGAAAACATGAAAGGGGTGCCTGTTTCATGTGCCTTAAGATGGAGGAGATTCCATTTAACCTTTTTCCCTTGGTTTTGATTTTTTTTCTCAAATTTGTATATATTTCATTCCTTTCTACTTTTTATATATCATGTAAACTTTCCTTTGAATTTCAGAAGCAATGGCCAACAACCCATGTTCTCCTCATAACACCTCCTCCAATTGATGAGGATGCACGTGTTAGGTATGGTCTATTGAGCCTTCATTCTTCATGCTGTCTCTGCTTACCGAGTTTTCTTTAACTAAAAAATTTAGATTTTAGACACACAACAGAGGTTAAACCCGAAGTTTTTCTAAAAATCTGTTGCAGATATCCATATGTAGATGATCCACAGGGTCTCCCTGAGAGGACAAATGAAGCTGCTGGTGAGTATGCTAGAGTATGCATTGCTGTGGCTGGAGAATGTGGAATCCCTGTGATTGATCTCTGGACCAAAATGCAGCAGTACCCTGACTGGAGGAAAGAGTATTTAAGGTATCTGTAGCTTTTTTCAATTTTATCTTCATTGACTGCATTTTGATTTAGTCATTCTGTTTCTGTAAATTGTTAAGACATTCAAAAACCATTGACAGGTTTCACCTAATAGTTAAGCTTTTAGGAGTTATTCCTTGAATAGTATCAGAGCCTATATAACCAAGTAGTAAGGATTTTGATTCCTACTACCCTCATTCTTGATGTGCATAGTCTATGTTTCGAGCCCGACGAGGAGTTGTAAAAGGTGGTATGTTAAAGATACAAAATCATTCCCGGGCCTTCCTCTGATAACTTAAAGCCTTAAACTTTTAGGAGAGATGTAACTTGACATGGTATTAAATCCTCTATGACCAAATGGTATGAGGTAAAGTGTGCTTGTGAGTTGTCCATGCTTCAAACTTAAATGCTTCTTGCATATAGGGTTGCTGTGCAAAACCATTTTTTGGGCCTTTATGTGATAGCTTATTATGCTTTACATGCTAATGAACATGATGCCCGTTTCTTGTAATATAATTGGATGTGGGCTGAATTATCAATATTGCAAAATATAAAAAGCTTATGAGGTTTTCATTGCTGACTTGATTTCTGAAATGTATATCAAAGTGCAGCACTGACTGTAATTTTGTAAAGTTTGTTCTGAATGTCATTCCTTACTGGGTATATGGTTTGATTAAAGATGTAAAGACTACTGATAACATAGTACTAAGCCATAAAATGGTATAATGAACTGAGAAAATTTCGTTTTCCGAGAACATAGAAAGTTTCAGTGTCTTGCTTGGTGCCAACACCAGCCATGATAAGAGTGTGACATGAATATATGATTGTGTTAACTGAAACGCAGTGATGGTTTGCATCTCACACAAAGTGGCAATCGAGTTGTTTTTGAGGAGGTAATCATGAAGCTGAGAGATGAAGGCTTGAGTCTAGAATCTATGCCAGTTGATCTGCCACTAGTATCTGATATCGACCCTAATGACCCTCTGAAGGCATTTCAGCAGTAATAGAAGGATACATTATACAGTAAGGGCTACCCCTTTTTGTGGGTTTATTGTACTTATTGAAAGATATGTTAATTTAGTATATATTACCTGATAGTATTTGGATCCTCTTTTGTTGTAACTATTTTCTGTAAGTCTCATTTGTGCGAAGAACAATATCTTGGCTAATCAGTATGCTTTCTCTGTTAGTTTATACATTTGGGAGTTCACATATTGAATTGTTTGTGCGTAGGATTTAGATTTGTTTCGCTCGAGGGGCATACTATTTCAATGTAATAGTGATCTAGTGAGGTAAAGTTATAAATTTAAGCTTAATAGGAGAGTCACCCTCAATTGGTCTCAGGTGTAAGCTGAGAATAAGGGGAGGAGAATTGGTGTACAAAAGATGCTTCCTTATTAGTAATGCAGGGTATTTACAAGTGAAGAAGATTCCCTAATATTGAGTGAGAAAGAGGCATAATGTTTCTGTCCTTGTGAGTTCTACTAAGTGTGAGGGCATTTTCACTTGGTGTATGAGGTACAAGTGCTAGAGGAGTGATATTTATTGTGTTGAGATGATATTTGTATTACTTTAGGGATGGAGAAAATTGGCGGGTCGCCTTTAACATAAACAAGTAAATTAAGAGGGTACTTGGTAGGAGTTAGAATCAGAGTGAAGGAGAAAGAAAAGGTTGAAATTTTGTCAATGTACTTATAAAAGCGGTTCTTGCTTTTTGCTTACATTTAGGGGTGTCAATATGGGTTGACACGACACGAATTCGACACGACACGAATACATCAACACGAACACGACACGAATTTTCATTCTTGTCAAAATCTTCAATACTGACACGACACGAATTTTTTGCAGGTTGACACGACACGACACGAATAACACGCAAAATAGGGGACAAAACGGTAATTGACAAAAAAAATTAAAAAAATAGATCGAAAATAAATAAAAAATTAAAAAATAATAATAATAAAAAAAATAATTAAAAATAATACGGGTCGACACGAACACGAATTCATAAACACGAACACGACACGAATTTTTTGCGTGTCATTTTTTCCAACACGAACACGACACGAATTTTTTTACGGGTCAACCCGAACACGAATTTTCGTGTCGTGTCGCGGGTCGACCCGCGTGTCAAAACCCATATTGACACCCCTACTTACATTACTTTATGAGTATTCCATAGGTTTCGATATGCCTCTAGAATCCCACTTTTTTTTTAATGAATAATACCAATATTTCATAATGCATAAGATACTATTAAACAATGTTGCCACTTGCCACAAATCTTAGTTGCAGATAATTAATATGTACTCTTCTTAGAATATAAGTAAATTCATCTAATTGCATTAAGAAAAAATTATAAATATTTTCCTAATAATATAGAACATGGTGTATAACATATTCATTAGAAAATAAAAATATCATATAACTTACAGGAGATAATTTGCAACTTTTGAGTTTTTTAATATCATAAAAAATATCATATCGTAAGTTGAAGTGTCAGAAATCTTGATTTTTATCTTGATATTCTGAGAAGAGCACCGTCTTCCGGTTTGTACTTTTTAATTATATTTCTCTTCGTTATCAAATATGTCATCTAATTTCATTCTTTCTTTATATTCAATGTCTAACTTTATTCGTGCAATCGTGCAAGTCGTAGCTTCAAATTTTGGATTTGCATGTTTTGCGCCCATATAAGTTGTCATTTAGATTTTTGGTTTCGTCTTTTAAGTTTTTCATTTTTAATCTCGTTGATCTATCTGATGCGATTATTTGTTTTATTTAAGAATGAATTCACGTCTTTTGCCATCACGACTTTGTTATTCATGACTTTCGTGATTTTGTTCATTCATTGGTTGAAAGCAACTTAATGCTTTGATATTAAATGATACAAAAGCTTATAAAAAACGATTGACAAAAAGTTGAGATTTAATAAAAGAGAAAAAAATCTATTCTAAATTTTTATTATTAAGATAACAAAATATGCAACTCATACAATAAGGGTCTTAAACACTCTTTTATAGATTAATTATAAATTAATTAAAATTTAAAATGCTAAAAAAATTTCTAAAGATAAATATAACAATAACTACCTCCTAAAAATAAAGATAATTAATTATAATTAAATCAACTTATTATCCAATTTAAATCAAGTAAATTTGTTGATTTCCATTTTTTTTGGAACAAATTAGAATCAAATCTTCCTCTTCCTTTTGACCTATGATTTGGTTGTAACCTATTAGATTTTAAAATGCTACTTTTTTAACCATGTGAGTTATGTGTATTTGTAATGGGCTATAATTCTATTTTGCTTCAAATTTTTTGTATCAATCCATTAATTGGTTGGGTGATATGTAATTGAATCATTTTTTAATTTTTATTTTGCATATATTTAAAAATTAAATGGATAAGACCTGTATACTTTTTATAACTGAGACTATTTCGACCGATTACTTTAAAATTACATTTTAAGACAATATTATGTCTTTGCCATGCCTTCCTACGGGTTTGGACTCTGAAATTGCATGAATTCTCAACGCTTAACTCAAGCTTGCTTGTTATTTACGTGAAATTTGTTCGAATATTATTTGATGGTTTACTAAAATAAAAATAAGTAAAATATTTAAGGGTTTGCTTACCAAAATAAAAATTTAAGGGTTTAATGTTTCACCTGCCACGGAAGATAAAGTTATCTCCCGCAACTCCCAAGATTATGTCATTTTGAGAGTTGGAGAAATTAATAAGGATGTTTTGGTAAGATTCATATAATAAAAGAGGAGCGTTATTCTTATAACTTTTTTTCGCTTACAACCTATTTTTCATTGTTAATTTCCTTCAATCCAATGGTTATGATTTACGAGGTCATATTTATTAATTAATTATTGATTTCAATAAATTATAATCGTTGGATTGACAGAAATTAATAGTGAAAAAATAGGTTGTAAATCTTTTAGGTTGTAAGAATAACGCTCCTCTAATAAAAAAAATAAACGAAATTCCTAAAATATCCTTCATCAATTCTCTTGATCCCAAAACGTCGTAGTTTTAGAGTTGCTGAAGATAACTTTATCTCCTATGGTTAGGGTTGGCAAAACGGGCAAACCCGGCCCGACCCGACCCAACCCGCATTCAACCCGAAAAAAACGAGCCGGGTTAGGGTTGGCTCGAAAAAAAAAAAAACAAGCCAGAAAATCCAACCCAACCCGACCCGAGTCGGGTTAGTGTTGGCTCGCGGGTTGGCTCACAAATATGGCTCGTGGGTTGGCTTGAAAAATAGCTCGCGAGTTGGTTCAAAAATTGGCCGCGAGTAGGCTCGAAAATTGGCTCGCGGGTTGGCTCGTTTTTAGCCTATTTAAATGACCCTGTAGTATTAATGCACCAGCTATGTGGCTTCCGTTAGCTTAAACAAAGGGTTACAAAATGAGAAATAAAAGCAAAATATTTTAGTTTCTAATTTTGTTCGCAACAAATTTGCATCAACATCCAGAAACAATCAGAACCACTTGCTACCAAGTGGGTAAGATATTTGAACCAAGCAGAGCAAGCACAACCTAACAATATAAAAATGGCAGGGATTGAGAAGATTAGGGACTTAGGTTTAGAGAATGAAGAAAAATGATGACAACATGTGTGAGTTTTGTCTATTTTTATATATTATATTTTTGTATTTTTTTATAAAAAAAAAAACTCAACCCGCGAGCTGGCTGATTTGACCCGCGGGTTGGCTCGTTGTTGAAACGAGCCGGATTAGCAGCTCATTTTTGCCAACCCAACCTGACTCATTTTTTGCGGGATACGAGTCAACCCGACGGGTTGGCTCGTTTTTGCCAACCCTACCTATGGCATATATGTTTGTACTCTTCTACATTTTTTTTTTTCTATTTCTACATATGTATTATCTATCTATTACTACTATAAAGATAAATATTAAAAATTATAAAGATCTTATTCTTTAATTGTATTTGACTTCATACACTTTTTAAATTATTTTAAATATTTTATTTTATTTTAATAAATAATAATAAAATGAAAATTCACATTTTTGGGGCTTGGCCCCACCACTAAAAAAAAGGTCAATTAACAATCATTCAATACACTACTACATATAATATTTATGCAACATTAAATGAATTTTATAATGGGAAAGGATTTGTAGATAAAATTCATTTTAACATGATCAAGTTGTGTAAAAAATCTTAGTTATTCATGGATAGATCAACAATAACAAGTTTAATAACAATTTAGTAACAAGACTTGTAAAATAGAAAAGAGAAAATGATCATTTTAATTGTTGATTATTCATCTATCAACGAAAGATTAAGATTTTTCACGGATAATATTAAAATTAGACATGATTCTTGATTTTAAAATCATGTTATTTGTGTTGGATTTTTCTTAATTAGGTGAGAAAAGGAATTAGAATTTTGTCAACTACATAATTTAAATGTAACTTTGGAACAATACATGCTTTATGTCTTCATGCATGATGATTTTTTACAAGGCTCCATTCATTGAAAATATGATTGTCATCTTTATTAATTGGTGAATATTTTAGAACATGGAAGAGAGGTCTCTTGGCCATCTATAAGAGGGAGGAAGAGATGAGTTAAGGTGTCCACAATCCACAAGAAAGAGACATCCTCTAAGAGAGAGAGAGAGAGCTAACTTCTAGTGAAGAATTTGAGAGATTATCATCTTCTCAAACTAGAGTGAGTTCTACCATAAAGATGAGGGTGATTATGCCAAATTAGATTATTGAAATTTTTTTAATATATCATACGAGTAGGTGAGATATCGAGTGTAATTGTCTAGAATTATACTTGAAAAGAAAAATATTCTTGTAATTATAGGATTATAATCCTATAATTATTACAATGGAAGATTTTGAACCTCTGATCTCATCAACCCCCCTTCAATTTATAGGGAATTTTCACATAAAATTCCTGTCCTTGTCTCTATATTGCTCCATTTTTATTGCCTATCTTAATCACATAAGATGGAAAAAGGTTTGTGATGTGCCTCTGGCATATGTGATTTTCCAAGACAAAAACAACAAGTTTTAAGTCCTTAAAGAGTAGTTATAGTAGGTATTTGCTTTATATTTTAGTTTTTCTATTTCAGTTTATATTCTCACATATTTGCT